AAATTTTCTTTCATCTTTCAAAAATGTCCGTGTCAGGGAACCATTAAATAATTCTATTAGCATTATGAAAATGATGTTGGTTAAGGTTAAGCTCAGCACGGAGAGGCTTTGTGTCAACTTTGTCTGCTCTGTCAAAGGATATTTTACGGCTTGGCTTTGCGGTGTCACAGATGTTTTTCATCAGCTTCAGTAACCATTTTAGTGCAGCACTAGAGGGAGGAATTTTGGTTACATAAACTGGTTTAGTAAATATATCCAAAAAAGAAAAAATATATAATCATGATGTGTCATGATCATGATGTGTTTTATGTGGTCATTTTGTTGTTGTTTTTTTCCCATATTGAGATTCAAACGCATAAATTTAAAATAAAATTCCCTGATAATATAGTTTTATTCGGCAGTAACTTGACTTTTTTCAGGATAACAAACAAGCTGTTGTAAATTCTGCGTTTGTAGCCACATTGATTATCTGCTTTAACTAAAGAGGCAGGGCTTTACATCTTTATGTACATAGAGTAATAATGGAGATGATTTAATAGGATTGCACCCACTGCCACAGTCTAAAGGCTTTTATTTATTTATTTTTCCTTGTTTGATTTAGTCTCATGCCATACATGCATTTCAAGAGGTTCAAGTTTTCTATTTTTAATTACCTTATCTCTGACTCAGTCTGAGTGGCGAAAGTCCAAAGGTTCTCCCAAATAATGAGTAATGGCCTTGCAGCAATTTTTTTGTTTTTCAAATAAAAATTTTGCTGGATTGTTAGGCATGAAAGTACCCTGACCAAACACGTTGGCTAAACGTGGAACTTATAGAGAGGAAAAGTACTCATACCTCTTTCATTTTTCAAATTCTTACTTGTAAATAAAAGTAAAAATTTATTTTTATTAGTACTTTTTGTGATAAACCACCACGAATTAGAGGATAATTCTATTTTTTATTTCTAAAAAAAAATAACTAAACCAATAGGTATTGATGTTCAGTCCCAAAGGAACTAACTGCCTTTTAAGCTTGTATAATTTCTAAACTGAATTCAGCTAAAGCTCTCTACAATTCAGCTGTTTTCTAAACACCCCAGGGATTCGTCAGAGAACCTTAGTGAACAAACTGCATTGCAAAGACCAAGAAACATAGAAAAAAGGCAGTAGTAGTGCTTCACATCCTTTTGACCACATATTCTTCTTTGTAAAACATAGTGGTAGCAGCATCATGCTGTGGGAAGGCTTTTCTTTAGCAGAGAGAGAGAGACATTGATCACATTTAATGGAGCAACTAGATTTCATTTGGTGCCAAAAAGGTGCTTCTACAAAAATATTCTACAGATGAAGGCCAAATCTAAATCATTTTGAGAACCATTATTTATTGTCCTTCTACTTCACATTTAGGTTCTAGGTTGTTTTTTTATTATGGAAAGTACCAATAAAATTGGAGGGAAAAAGATGGAATCATTGCATTACTATTTTTGCACATATGGTAATGTTTAGATTAATCCTCCAAAAATGTCATATGATAGAAAAGCATTCACTTTATCTGAAGATTCATACATTTATTTACTCATACATCAATTTGTATGTTTTCTAAGCCATAACAAGGCTTTGTTGGGCTACACTATAAAGCTTGGGACTCAACGCTAATCTAGACATTTTGAATTACAAAAAACTTCCTGGATGGGAAGTGAAAAATCTTCAGACTTGGAAAACAAAGTCCAGTAGTTTGTTTTTTAACTTTTTAAACTTTTTTTGGAACTACATTTAAAGAATTCGATTGACTTAATGGAACAAATGTGTTTCTGCATGCAAGGTTAGAACAATTTGATCAGGTGAAAATTTTGCAGCAACTACATCGATCCATTATGGTATATGGGTAGAATTTATGTAAGGTTTGACACTAGAGCCACATTCATCCAATCATCACTAACAGAAATAAGATTCACAGATCTTTAAGAGACTTAGTATTAAGCTTCTTTCCCAAAGGTACATAGAAATATGGTAGGAGGAGCTGAACCAACGACTTTGAGAGAGTGAGATGACCCACACAACCAGACCTACCTGTCAGGTGTGCTGTCTGTTTTTCTATGTTGATGCCACATATGATTATAGAAAAGTTTGCTTTATTTGCATAACTAAGTTTTGTTTTTTGCTGAGAACTAGAGGCTTGGTTAAACCACGTTCAAAGTGAGGTTCTGCACATGAGGATAAACATTCTCTGTCAAGACCCTTTTGTTTACTGGCTGAATGGTTTCAGAAGAAGAAGAATGGGCCTTTGGGTTTATGCTATTGTTTGAATCCTAATTATGCAGAATACAACTCACTTGTTAGAGTACAAAAGTAAATGAAAGAAGTTGCTTTTGACTATTCCAGCTTTCAACTCTTTAAGTGTATATGCTGAAGGACAAAGAGGCTTTTTTGTTGCTTTGAAAAATAATTGCCTTTAATAACCGTGTTAGAATCAGCCCAGTTCTGTCAAATTGCTAAAAACATAATTTCTGTCTGTTGAATGTTTTAATGAGCCCAATAATTCATTTTCGGTTTCAGAGTTGACACTGGATTTGAACATTTATATTTGGTCTAAAATAGAGACTGCACACACTGAACATTGCACACAGTCAAAAACTGATATTTAAATCCACTGTAAAATGAAGAATTAAAGTCTATCCCAATTAAAGTGGAGTAAATGTTCCCTGCTTAGGGCCAACTAATATCAAAAATGTTTTTTTCCTAATTGCTGGAATATGAAGAGATTTTGGGGGCTTAAAAGAAGAATGGCTGTGATGGATGATGTTGTTCCCAACAATGGAAACATCAGGAGCTAGAGGTAAAGAGCCTGGCAGGTAAGGTCATCATTAGTGCATGTAGTCATTAGAGCACACGGGACTGATGCACATGAAGAAACATGCGACATCAAACATCCTGCAAAAAAACCACAAGCTCCCAAGCTCCAGTTAGAGCCCTAGATGATAAAATTAACCGCCACCCACCCCAATCAGGACACTGATGGCTGGGTGGCAGGGTTGGATAAAGAATAAACTAATGGTTTTATTGTAATGTAGCATAAGAAAGGAGTGGATTTAAGTAGTTTAAAGGCATATTCTACATGTAAGGCAGACAGATAAGTTGGCAGGTCGATATTCTGGGCTAATGTTAGTCTTTTTTTCGCTTGCATTAGCATAGATGCGAGTTAATTGACTCATTAACACATACAGTAGCTATGCCTTGAGATCACATAAACCGTATGCATTCCTCTTCACACCATCTGCTATATGTTATTGCTTTGTCATGTAAATAGAGGGAAAAAGTAATATTATTCACAAATCAGCCCAAAATAAACGGCAGTAGATTTCTGTTAGACTGATCAGCCGTGAAAAGCCTGCATCAGTCGATCTCTACTATGCATAGCTGTTTTTCCAGTTGATTTAAATGTTGTGAATTATTCAGGCAGAAGCTTTTAAAGCTATGACATCATCTTGTCTTTTCCATACTGTAGAAGATTTAATTGTTTCATATGCAAACTTCCAAACCTAGGTTTCTTTTTTTTATTTAGCATAATGAACTAATTTTAGTAATCTTAACTGATTATAAAAAGGGAAAATTGTGTTTTAAATCAAAACAATACATTGGGGGAAAGAATTGCTTCTTTTCATAAAGTGCACTTAAAAATCTTCTTTTACCAATAAGTATTAGTTGGATTAATATAAGGGCAATGAAAAAAATAACCTGACTTCTGCACCTGAAACAACAGTTGCTGTGAGTAGGACATTTAGACTTCACAGCAAAGTAAGGAAGGAGAAAGTGCATAAAGAGAACCAGAGTTTGTCCAAATGTGTCTGAAGTATTTAAAAAAAAAAAGTGACTGCAATAAATTTCATCCAATGCTGTTGTCCATGCTTTATTAGAAATATATAAGGCCTGAAAACCCCTAAAAAAATAAGAATATCAAGTTTCTATTGAACCAAAAGGTTTTTACCATTCTTAGTGTTTTTGCACTTCATTTTCTGTTTGTTTCAATGATGATACAGTAGCTCAGTGGTTGGATGTTATTGTCATAATTCTCACCCTTTGTGTCCGTGAGAGCAGAGAGGGAAAAAAAAAATGACAAGGACAAATTGACACACAGCAGATTTTTATTCAAATGCCATCTGGTATAAGCTGTTTATAATTATTTGTGTTTAACAATGCACCGCATTATCACATGCATGTTTGGCAAATGCACTTCCATGAAACCTCACTTCCATGAAGTTTAATTGTGAACCATAAAGTAATAACTTGTGCGATATAGTTAACAATACATGCAGAAGGTTTGGTTTCAAAGGCAGCATGAAAAAGATGCTACAGAATGGAGTATAAATTCCTGATCAGGTTATATTTTCAGCTGGTTTTATCATTGAATGTTGTCATTGTTGCTGGTTTTCAATCAGTTCGAATACAGAGGAAGGAAATAAGCTTTTTATCAGAGAGGAAATCATTGCATTATACAAGAATCTTATCCAGCTATCAAACTTCCCAGATAGCATATATTTTTTGAGTAATTATAGTTATATCCAAATAATTCCTACTTTTGTAATTTACTAATAGATGTTATATTTTTTTGGATAGCAATTTTCTGTGCCAGGTTAATTTAATGCATAAGGAGGTTCATGTCTGGCAGATGGGTTGGTCCTTGGGTTTTGTCCACGAAAAGTCAAGATAACCATTAATATTGTTAAATGTTAAATTTTATTTCCTGAGATGCATGATATTGCTTAATTTGAAAAGTCATCAGAATAAAAATGTGTTATATTGAGACTTTTTGATCCAATATTGGCTTTTTTTTTTTTTTTTTTTTTTAGCTAACTCCCTTTTAATGCATAATTAATGATGTTAGAAAAGTTCTGCTGAACTTGGAAAGCCAAAAGTGAAGATATTCCCTGTAGACCCATGCACATGCACTCTATCTTTATCCTGCGTGTTTTCTGCAGGTATGGTGATCTCACCTGGCTTCTCTCTTCTTTTTTTTTTCTTCAGGTAATGCAGGTGGTGAGAGAGCAGATCATGCGAGCGCTCTCTCTGAAGCCTAATTCCTTAGATCAGTTCAAGAGTCGCCTGCAGAACCTGAGCTACACAGAGATCCTGAAGATACGCCAGTCTGAGAGGATGAATCAGGAAGACTTTCAGTCCCGGCCCATTTTGTGAGTGCTGCTCTTTTGTTAAGCAAAAAAAATGTCAATTCATGCTTTAAGTGGAAATAAATGTCATGCAAATTAGAGTAAGAAGTAATGACTTTGAGCATCTGCCTAAAGCTCTCAATATTAACTGCATCACATCATCTTATTATGTAGCTTAGTTCATATTAGATGCAAATCAACAAATCTACTCAAGACACTATAATGCTTAATGTCTATGGAATAGTTTTGTTTCTTCCTATAAATTTTTCATTTACACAGCAATAGGCCTAAAGCAGACTGCAGCGGGTTACTCTTTTTCTTTTTTTTTGAATAATTTCTGCATTAAATTCTATGTCTCTTCAGGCAGCCTTCTTAGTCCACACTGAATAAATGACCTGGCTCAGAGAGCCGGCATATCATTAATCCAGGTTCTATATGGGAGAACGTTGTTCTCTCCTTGTTTTTAATGGGAGTAGGTAGCAGTTTGAGAAATCGTTGCACTGAAAGAACCCGGCTCTTTCAACGATAATCAATGCTGAGCTAAGGGCTTATTGAATCTCAGTTGGAAGGAGAGAGATCAAACCTTTGCAGACACTTAATCCCAGCGGACATAATGCATTAAGAGAGAGAAGAAGCTGTAGAAAAAAAGCTCCCTTGACACAGAAAGCACAGTAGAGCATTTTATTACAGCGAAATATTAAAATCAGATTAGGAACAGACTCGGATGCTGTTTTACTGTGGCTCCTTTCTTTATCATTTGACTAAATGTTTCTACTCCTAATCAGACTGTTGCATAATAGTATAAAATAAAGCCTCCTGGAAATAAAAGGCTGTTTTCAAATGTGTTTTCCCTGCCTTAGTGGTAGAGAAAATCACAGACTGAGGAGTTTGTCTGGACTTTTCCCCTGAAGTCCTTTAGTTTAATCAGGAGCTGCGAATATGAGCCAAACATCTCGGATCAAAGGTTTTCTGGAAAACAATGTTCTCAGTTTTGTTCAACTCAGAACAGGAACATCAAAACAAGATGAGCTAAAGATTTACGGGTTTTTTTAATGAAAGCACAGGAAATCTTGCAAAAGTTTAGGAATCATTATCTGACTGAATCTGGATATTTGAATCCCTCTGTTTTTATATATTTATCAATGTGTTTTGCAAAGGTTTTTTTAAGCCTTGAACTTTTTAGTATTTTCAATGATACAGTCACAAACGAGGTTATTCTGTATTGTTAGAGAACATCGTGGAACCAGGGAACACAGGACAATCAGGATCGAAGTGGCAAAGTAATAGAAGGGTTAAGGTTAAAAATCCAAACATAAAATCTTTAAACCATTTACAAATAAGGGACTAGTCTAGGGCTGCAATTTTTGATTATTAATTATGGAATAATTAATATTCAGCAATAATGAAAAATAATCCGAAAGCAAATGTTGCTTCATACAATTTTATTTTTGGGAATTTGAACCAGGGGAAGATACATACTTCCCTACTTGAGGGCCTCTGAATAGAGCGTATCTACAAAGAATTAGTATCATGTTTAGGGCAAAATGTTTGTTTTTGTTTTGGCTTAATTTCTGCTTTGAGTGGAAATCTCTTTCAGAGGATGACATTTTTTATAGTCTGTTTTCTCCTATAATCAACTATTCAACTTTTAAATTGGTCACAATTATTATAATAATCAATTCATTATAATTAGATCATATTTCTGTGTTAAAATTGCCCGGTCAAAGTCAGGGTAGAAATTTACTCAAGAATATGAGCTAAAATCTGAAAATTTGTGTTACCCGATCTTCTTAATACAATCTAAAAGAAATGTAGCTGTTTTGAAGAAAAATCGACATTTTAGTTTTTATAAGAGTACAAAAACTGGTAAACATACACCAACAACCTTGAAACAATAGCAGCAAAACTTTGCTAAAACTTGCATGTTTTTCTTTTTAATCAGAACTATACAGCATTTTGCACTGGTTATTATCATATAAAATTTCATAAAGTATAAAAGTTCATGGGTATGACTGCTTTTGCATTATAGTATTTGCTAAGAACCTTTTTTTTTTGCATGCAAAATAAAAAAATCAGTTATGGGTCAAGAATTGAAAAAGCCTTACTCAGATCTACTCATTTCAAAAAGTTGTTTCCCTGGAGATTACCTTTATTCTTTTAACACCTACCTATTTTGTTTCCCCCTTTTAACTCTACCTCTAAAACCATGCATTGCAGATTTTCTGCATTTATGTGATTTTATCCATTTAGTTTTAACCCACAGCAGCTGGTGTCGTAACTTTTCCACAAGATTCTTCAAATGTATTTCTAACCAAATATCCATGTATTGGATATTTAGTATTGGACAAGCATTAACTGGGCCAATGAGTGTATAGATAAGAAATCTGACTGGCTAAAGAAGCAATATCTGTCAGTGGATCAAAAGAACACTACATTTTAATACAAGTTTCTATCAAGATCCATAATATGACGCAAGAGGTAATTTGATTCTTCTAATTTAATAATAATGATAATTATAATATGGCCGATTCCTGCTGTGTTATTCAGGCTGACTTCCCATTATGTCAATTATAAAATGTGTTTCTATGCGACGCTGGTAAGTCTTAAGTAGCAGCTGTTCAAATGCATGTATATACATGCATGTTCATATGTGTGACATCTCAACATAGTTCATCTGAAAAGATACCTTTAGTTCTTCAGAACGTCTTTATTTGAAATGTTAAAATTTTAATTGTTGCTCCTTTTTTTTTTAGAATTTAGAAAGCAGACTGGGGATTGTGGAAAACTCAAAAATCAACATCTTTTTGGCCAATAACCAATCAGAGATTTTGTAAAACCATGACTCACTGATTTTAGCTGATTCTTATTGCTCAGTAGGATCTATTTAATGTATATTATTTTACTAGATGAAAATGTATATTTGTTGTAGAATTAAAGTTATGTTCTTAAGAATAGTCTAAAGTTCGATTTGTTTACTAACACTGCAAAACTTGTGCAAATAAGCCCAACTTAAAATGTTCTGCAGTAATTCTGCTGTTTTCTCCGAGGGGAAACAAAATGACCACATAATTGTCATAGTTTACTGTTTTTAATGCTAGCATTGGTGCAAGTTTGAACAACAGGCAAAGTTTGCCTTTCTGGTCCAGCATAATCAGTGATGGACAGAAGAGGTGTGTAAAAAAAAAAAAAAAAAAAAGTTTAAAACAGAATTAGCCGCTGTGGCAGCATTAATGAACATCCAACATTGTTTTACGCTCTTTCCTTTTCCAATAACCTTCTTTTTGAGAAAATTGCTGACTTTAACTCATTTTTCCCCAGTGACCACCCAAAATGTTGGTGTCCGTTTGAAATCAGTGTACAGGGCAAGCCAACTGTAAAATCGACCAATTCTGGTCAACGGACAATTTTGCTGTGAATCTTTATTTGAAAACAGGTTTTCAAATACCCGGATAAAACTAGGTTTAATTAGTGCTTTCATGTTATCAGTAAAAGAGTTAATCATGAGGGGATGTAAAATCAGATCAGAGAGTATCAAGGACTCCAGTTCATGGACTGTTCACCCTTTCTCTAAGCAGAAGGTTCTAGAGCTTTAAAGCCTACAGATCAAGGCTGAGAAACAGCTTCTTAACGTAGCCTGGGGAGCTCATGAGCTTATCCCTGTAATCTGTATCCTTGGTCTTTGTTTTATCTTTTGTGTGTTGTTAGTCAGTATTTTATTCTATTTGGGCTTTGGGATTTTTTTTGTAGTTTATTTTGCTCAACATATTTGTTTCTTATCGTTTTATTGCTATTTTCAGATTATGTGTATTAATGTATTCCATCCTAACATCCATAATCCAGGAGATTTTGTTCCTCTGATGATTAATGCAAACTTTAGAATAACTTAATCCTCTTACTTCTGTTGTCGTAACACTTTGCAGATCAGTGCCACTGGTTGGTTGCTTTGAACAGATTGTAGATAATTCTCCTAAATGTATAATTTGTGTTATTATCCTGCAGGGAGCTGAGGGAAAAGATCCAGCCAGAGATCATGGAGCTGATCAAACAGCAGAGGCTAAACCGCTTGTGTGAGGGAACCTGTTTTAGGAAAATCAGCAGTCGCAGGAGGCAAGGTGAGGCGTTCAGGACCCCCACGTGCATTTTAATTTACACTTTTCCATCCACAAGGATCCGACTTCTGGTATCCTTCCTTTTGATCTTTGTCACAGACGCCTCAGTCCCTTTTCTTTGTGAAAACCAAGCAGGACATATTTCATCAGCGGGACTCTTTGAACCTCTGGACTGCTGCAAATCTGCACTCATGATCACTTGCACAAATTCTCTTGCTCTCTCTCAACCTTTGAAGTCAAGACCCACAGTGGCACATGGTGTCTTTTGACGCTTTTCAAAAGACACCATGTGCCAGCTTTTCTTGAAGTTTTTCAAAAAGTGCACTCACAAACATCTTTCCTCTCTCATTTGCCTGTCACAGCACACCTCTGCAGCATCCAAAGGTGGCCACAGTTGGAAGGCACTAAAAACAAACATTCTCTGCGTCAGTGCATTCCAGCTCTTTAAAGAATCATTAAGATTTGTCTTGGCAGGTGTCATCTGAACGCGTTGAAAGAGGGATTACATAATCATACATTTTAAAGGAAAATAGAAAAAAATGTTGGTGCTTAGTTCTTCTCTTGGGTCACCGTTTATCGTCTCAAACATTGCCATCCTCCTCTGAATCCTGATTTATTTTTTTCTGCTTTGCTTTCTTTTTCCTTTTGCATGTGGAAATCTGCTCAGTCTTCAAAATATTCCTCCCTCATATCTGTTTCTCTTTCTTGGATCTGTCTTTCTACAACATGCACATATCCACCTTTGTTCCGCTCTCTGAGCCTTTGTGTTCTTGCTCAGAAATGTGAAGGGCACTTTTTTGGAGACCTTAAGTAAGCTGAATGCAAATAAATGGTGCTTTTATTTCATCTCTACATCTAACTCTGTCATTGAAATGTAGATTTTTCTTTCTTCTCTGTTGTCTTAAGCCCCCTAAAGCTTGCTGTATTACTGTTTGAAAATCTTCCATCCTAATGGAATGTATCACAAACATTAAATATTCATTTGTCTCGACTCTACTAGTGAATGATTCCCCCACTCTATGCTCTGCTCTCCATTTAAAATTAATATTTATCTCCAAATGCTTCTCCTTTTAGTGTTTGAAGAAAAAGTACAGTATCCTCAGTCTTTTAAGAACACTCTTTAAGCTGTGAGTTATATTTTTGTCTCACTGAGGCGTATTTTATCAAAGGCAGCAAATCTTAACCTGATTCTGTTAACGTCCATCTTTGATGCTGCTTGTTGAATCCGTCATTCTTAGCCAAACAAAGTCCGGAGTGCAGAAACACTGATCCATCACCTGGGGAGTAAAGCCGAACAGTCGGTCCAGTCCTCTTGCTTCACCGTGACCAAACAGGTCTTTCTGTCAGTCTGCTGCCTGTGGATCAGAATCAGAATCAGAAATACTTTAATAATCCCAGAGGGAAATTACTTTTGTTACACGCTCTAGTTACAGTTTTACATGATATATACACACATCAGTACCAATCTACAGCTGCCTGAAACCAGCCAGGCTGTTTTCAGCATTTAGGAATTGGACTGTGCAAATGGCAGCTAGAGCTTTTCTGTTTGTGTCTACACACTGCCACAGTAAGCTAGCTGTCAACTTTGAAAAAATAATTAATTGATTGTTGATTGACTTTATTGATCTCACAGTGGAGACATGTACTCATCACATGAGCTCAAATAGTCAAAGGAGAAGCAGAATGTGCCAAAGGAAGAAAAAAGTGCATGGGATATATACAGTATATACCGTGCGTCACATATGTCATTTATTTATTTTATTTTATTTTTTGGTTTTTTTATTATAGTAGGATTATTATACAGGGTTATTGTACGTGGTGTTTACATGGGTATTTATACAGATGGATATTTATATTTATAAATATAGTTATTGCGCTGGGTGTCAAATATCGAGAAAGGGATTATTGCACAGGGTATCAAATAGCAGTTGCACATTATACATTGCACAATTTGTTGCCATTATAGTGTCGCATTTTAGAGTTTGGTTGCAGCAGGGATGAATGACCTGCAGTAGCACCAGTGGCGGCTGGTGAAAAATATTTTTGGTGGGGCTGATATAGCCTAGTATATGTCTCCAACTAATCCAGAATCAGAATTCAAAAAAACAATTGGAAAATAAATACAATTTAACAGTAATGATTTAATTTACTATATAATAACAGTAACAGTGATGATTTGGGTCACTGTGACGGGGTTCTTTGGCCTCCAAGAATCCAGGCTCAGTCAGGTTACCGGTGTTGGTGATTTATTGTGCTCAAAAACTCAAAACAGGGTGCAAAAGAAACTAAACATATACAAGATACTCTGGGCCTCAGCCTCCCTCCAGTTACCAGCAATGTAACAAAGAAACAGAGAACAAAAATGGCCGCTCTTCTTCCCACAGCCCTCATTAAATAGTTTAAGCCCCTCACCTCAGGCTCTCTTATTTCTGATTTCTTCTCATAAATCAGTTTTGTCCATATATTACCTCCACAAACAATTGATATAGAAAAACAAATAATTTTTACAACTCAATTCCTTTACACAGATTCATTGACTTATTCAATTACACCAAACTTTTAAACATAAAATAAAAATAAAAAAATCTGACAATCATTTAGCGAGTCACGTGTTGGTGACGTCATTCCCGCATTCCAACAACTCTGGCGTTTTAACCGCTTACTGAGCGTTGCCTCGGGTTTGAAGCCAGCAAAGACCCCGCCAGACTGAAGGTAAGTCCCCGTAGCATAAACACGCACACACCCACCCCCATGATTGGCAGATTCTCTGCACATGTGGGGCAGTCTTGATCAGCGCCCCAAGACAGAGAGTAGGAGTCTGTCTGTGGAAATCCACAAATGAATGACAGTAGATAGGGAAATGTAGTTTATATAATTTGTTTTGCTTATAGGTACACACTCTAGAGAGTAAAACTGACATTTATGAGTTAATTTGTAAAAATATATTTTACGTTTCTCTCTTCTTATCAGGGAGGGCGGTGCCCCAGCGCCCCCTATGGGCCGGCCGCCACTGGGTAGCACTCCTCTTTACAAACAGGGTGTAAAAGTCTTTCACTAAAGGTCAGCTCCTCTACTGTCCTGTGCAGATTGTGGAAGGGTTTGTCCGTGATGATAAAAAAAAAAAATATATATATATATATATATATATATATATATATATATATATATATAAAACAAGTTGTCAGTTCAATTTGACAGTAAAAGTCGATTCGATGCATCGTTCTATGACCTAATCCCATTAAGTCAGGGAAGGGTGGTGTCAAGGAAGGGTGGGACAAAAACTACTCAAAATACGTTCTGTTGCAGCGACAGTCTTGGCTATATCAGGTGCAGTATAGGTGCAGATAGGTGCAGTGTTTGATCTACTGAGCACATAGAATAAACTACTAAGAGACTAGTTTTGCACCCCACCATGCTGGAACACACCTACCAAGGGGGTGGCTTTAAAGTTGTCCAAATGATGGTTGACTCAGCTAAATTAAGTTGACTAGTCAATAAGCCGGAACTGCTACTGAATATATCCAAGGCCTCTATTTTTTGTTTTAAGTGCTGACAGTAAAGCTGTTAAGAATCTAGCAATAATTTAAAATTTAGTCTGATTTCCTTTTTCTAAATATGATTTCAGCCCTTTCCTGTTTTCTAAAACCCTGTTTGTTCTTTATTTCATCCTGTGGTTGCATTTATGTGCAGGTGCTACCAGGTGCAGGTGCTAAATCAAAGAAGTAAATTTTTGTTATTTTATATTTACAGTTAAAGATAATAAAAATTTGGAAATAAACATTAAGTGAATAATTATTTGTATTTGTAGGGGGTCACCAGTCGGTTGTGTTGTATGTTTGGGGTCTTATTTTGAAGTATTTGGGAATCCCTGGTATGAAGCATGATAGTGGAACAGAAATGTTGCTGTTTTTCTGCTTTTTAACAGCCTAAATGATAAAAACAGAGACACATTGTGATGCCAAAGAGCGCATTTTCCCTCTTTCTCATTTTTTTCAGTTGTTGTTTTTTTTCAGTTTCTGTGAGAGATTTTTTTTTTTTTTTACCTTTTCTGAGACAAAGATGTTTTCTTGTTGGGTTTACTTAAGGTTACTGAATATTGCTGTTGAATGGCTGCTTAAATGATAAAACCAACTGTCTGTAGCCATGATCCATCCCTTGTGGAAAGGATCTTTACCCATCTGTGGATTTTCCTCAAGGCTGTGTTTTGGCTCAGCTTTTTTTTTCTACCAGCTAATTTTCTCTCCTCCTGATGACTCATGGTTTCTGCCAGCTGCTGTTTATTTCATAACTCGTCTAAATCCATCTCTGCTGATTCTTTCAGATAAGTTCTGGTACTGTCGGCTGTCTCCGAATCATAAAGTCCTGCACTATGGAGATCTTGAAGAGAGCCCTCAAGGAGAGGTCCCCCATGACTCTTTACAGGACAAATGTGGGTACCCAAAAAATCCAGCTGGTCAAAAAGTTAAATACTTAATGGTGCTGTTAAAATGGTTATAAAAAGAGTACAGTTTCTCTAATAGCAATAGACTGCAGAAATTTTTTTCGGTTCAGTGGTAAATAATAATTATATGTATTAGTACTCCAGTTGATGTTATATCCATGTGATTATAGTGAAAAAATGGCATACCTTTGAAATAAACTATACTGTCTACAGAAGTGATATTTTCAGCATTACGGGGCACAATCACAGATTTTCTATGCATTCTCAAAAGTCTGGAGTTTAATTTCAGGAATTTCTTGATAATTATTTGAAAATTACAAAAAGAAAAGTAAAAAAAAAATGTCTCGTCCAAATGTATTGCCTTTACCGTTTACCATCCATGCATCAATTGTTCCGATCATTTAAAAAAGGCTTCCTGTAAATCTCGGAACTAAATCCAAGTATTTGATTAAAACAGTGATGATTGTGTTTACAGTTTTAGAGCCTGTAAAACTTTCGATTATTTATTTATAAAGAAGGAGGTAAAAGAAAAGGTGCACTTCCTTTTTATAACCATGATAATATTTCAGAGATTATGTAATTTTCAGATCAAGTTATTTCAAAAAAGATTTATTTTCTATTCACACACTAACTAAATATATATCAAAAGGAGAGTTATATTTAATGTTTAAAGAAATCAGATTAGTTTGCTCTGACTGGAAGTCATCTTGCTGTTTTGTGACCCGCCCAGAGTTCTTATTCAAATGTAAAATGAATCTGAGCAGGTAGTTTAAGATTAGGGTTATGGAAAGGAGGCCTTCAAACCTCAAAGACTTGGAGTTCACTTCCAAAATATCATAGTATAAGTGGAAACTTAGAATTGGTAGGATTTATATGAAGAGGTCAGTTGCCATTACGGCAATAAAGATTTTTCTGTTGGATATTGAAAAAAAGTTTCCATCATGGCAATTTTGATTATAATAATATCTTTTATCGAACTTTTTCTGTCATTTCCTATTTGAAATAGGGACCCTGTTTGAAAAGTGATAATGTTATATCTTATTCTTCAAGGAGTCTGAATAAATTTGTCCCTAACTGCTTTCCTTTTCACTTTTGATCTTAATTTTACTTGGATTTTAATTACTTAAATAAACCAAGCCGCCATCTGGGAGGACAGAATTGTGTGTTGTTGTTAACTGTCATCTGTCCTCCCTGCAGTGCCTGTAGCTGATATCAAAGCTGTTATCACTGGCAAAGACTGTCCTCACATGAAGGAAAAAGGAGCCCTCAAGCAAAACAAGGTGTGTTTTCAGTGAGTGCATGTGTACACGTGCAAGCCCTTGGGTGGGAGGGGGTGTATCCAGATAAGAGAATATAGTTTTGTGTGTGTGTGAGAGAGAAAGTGTCTTGCATAACATGATGTCAGTTACATAAATTCTGCTTTTGGAAATAACACAATAACTTACATCTCAGTGGCTTTCGCAGACAGGAATGCATTCATCAGCAAAGTTTGGTTCACATAACCCACAACGTTTAAAATAAATGGACCTCAGAAATTTGGCTCTTCATCTGAAGGGATCCTCGCTTTAGAGCAATGGAGGAGAAGTTTCAGGCTTTAGGCTGTTTGGGAAGAGCCGTTCTGCAAAAAGAGTCAGGGAGAGATTTTTGGGTCGCTTGCAGGACGGTGGGAATTGGTGAAACATCTTTACCTTTTTTTCTTTCAAACCTTTATGAATTGGCCGTGTCCTGGATGACTGAGAATCTTCACCAGCATTCTGTCCACATAAATAGCTGAATAGTCTGTTAAAGACTGAAATCAATCTTTTTTTTTATTGCTGTTCTTATCTAGCAGTGGCACATGGAGATGCACTCTAGAGCTTTCAGCAGGATGAAAGAGCTGCCTTGTCTGCATACATGTTCACATCATTCAGTAATTTCCCCCTGCAGACCTTCCTCCCCCCACCCACAGGACTCTGATCTTAGTTCTTGAATAAACAGCAGAATCCTGCCCTCCCCCCTGAACTTAAAATCCTTTATAACTGTGTCAATAAGCGTGGGTCTAGAATATTGGCATTTTGGGGGGGGGGGGGGGGGGGGGGGGCTGAGGCTTTGTAATAGGCCTGTTTTAGCCTTGCGACTCTGAATGTGCACACATTTTAATATTCTTTGTTAGAAAGCCAGGCAAAGTCACCTCTACAGGCTTTAGAACAGAGCTGACATGTGAGACAAAGGACAGAAGCATGCTGCATTATCATGTTTTATTCAAAATCTATGGGAATCTAGGGGAAGATGGGTCAATTTTATTTTATTTTTTTCTATAGTATGTTTTTTTTTTTTTTTTTTTGTAAATCAAAGCAAAACTTCTCAGAATCAAAAAAAATTAAACAGGGAGAGAAATATATTAAACCTGAATGGCTAAAATTCCTGTGGATCTTAAACGTGTTATACCATTTTTTTCAATGTTTTGCTCATTTAGGTTAAAGAACAGGCTGCTTTGTTCCTATTAAGTCTTTTTTGTTGTTCAGACATTTCCTTTTTCTCATCTGCTTCTCATCTGCTTCTCATCTGCTTTTCACCCTGTCCTCGCTACAGGAGGTATTAGAGCTGGCCTTCTCTGTCCTCTATGAGTCGGATGAATACTTGAACTTCATCGCTCCTGACAAGCATGAGGTAGGTCAGCAGAGGTCGTCTCGATGGTCGCCGGCTCTGTCAGACAGAATCAACCTAACTGAGGACACAGAAGATTTCTAGATATAACTATACTCTCCTGTTATATGTATATAAAATGGTTTAAGGGGTAACGGGAACATATAACGCATTATAAACTGCTTCATTTAAGTTCTGCATTTCTCTTTCTGCTGAATGAACTTAATGGTCCTAATTGAATGCTTTTTTTAAGCATTTCAAAGTGAACTATGGCAAATATGTGGCGAAATAAGGCTTTTAGCACTACATAGGTAATAATCTGTTATAAAATACAGTGGTTTCTTTTCAATCCAGAAGAGAAACACTTGACTTTAAAGTAAAGCTATAACTCGTGTCTGTGTACCGCCCATTTTAACGATGCATCACCCACCTCTTAAGGCTTCAAGTCCAAGACCTCTTGAGGCCAGAAAACTGATTTTTCACAACTTGGACATTAGCTAAAAAGGAGAAGTTGCTGCCTTTGGCAGATTAGCTGCCAATTTATCACAGCTTTAAAGCAGAATCACTGATCAGCCCTCCCTGATCAGAGAAAGTGCGTGTTTTTTTTTATTTACAGTGGTGGCACTGTGCGCTTTAGGGAGGTGTTTCGTGAAGGGAGCATTCTTCTTGTCTCCATCCTCTTCTTTTCACGGCACGAGGAGGGGCAGATGCTCAGACAGCAGAACTCATGATGCTTATTCAGAGATTCGTATTTTTGCACATGGTTCTGATGAATGAAACGCATTATAACATAGTTAAAAGCTCAAAGCTGTGATTCTGTATGATAAAGGCCATTTTTAACATCCTAATTTGGACTATAAAGATAATATGAAAAGTGCAGTGCTATTAAAAAGTATTTAAACCCTTATTTATTTATTTTGTCACAACTTCATCTTTTTGCATCATAGATAAAGTTATGATATTAGACAAACATCATCTGAGTAAATGCCTTTGTAAAGAAAGAATCTACTTACTGTATTAAGAGAAAATGGCAATCCAAACTGATCGGATCTTTGTGAAACAGGATTTGGCCTTTAACCCTAATGACAGGCTGTACCACTCATTAACAGGAAAAGTTGCTATAATATCAATTTTAAATGCAGTATTCTTTTGATTCAGCCTTATTGGAGGACGTTTTATCATGAAGAGCCTGCTTGATCTCCTGGTTTATTATTGAATGCATGTTCAAACTTTGACTTGGCTGCTCAAAAATCTTCAGAAATTTTATTAGTTTTTATCTTTTCCATTATGGGAGCAGCTGGTGTGCTGGAAATCCTTATTTTGCCACAAACCCATGTTTTAATGTGCAGAACATCTCCCTTTAAGGTTTCCTGGTAACGAGAGAAACCAAGACTTTATTAACCAGGGCAAGTTATCAAGGACCTGCAGACATAAAGCAGCTCCGGTCAGCAAGCTTTGGTGACAGTATAGCACTAAAGTAACAGGAGTCAAGGCTTCTGTAACCCGTCTCATCAGTCCATGAAATATTTTCACAAAGATATTTTAGAAGATTTTTTTCTTCTATCTCAAAGGCCATGATTACAGAGTCTATTTCTCTGCGATTGAATCATGATCTCTGATCTTAACTGAACCCACTTCATTCCCATTAGGCATCATGGAGTGATTTCTCAATTTTAAGAGTTTTGTTTTAAATCAGACCTCTGTGCTTTTGTGTTTGCTATCGGTTAATTATTTGATTTAATGAGAGATCTCTTATTTTATTTAATTCAGGATAAGAAACATTTTAATTAGACAAAAAGTAAAAAGTGTAAAACATTTTTACCAGTGTATGTTTTTTTTTTTTACCTAATCTTGTCTAAATGGTTAATATGTTCCAAAGTGAATTCGTAAACACAGAGTGAGGTGTGTAATGAGTTATTAAGAACAGCGCTGTTAGATTAAGAATTTCTTTCTCAGATTCGATTTTATTTCATTTTCATTTCATAGTAATTACTTCACACAAACAAAACAAAAGAAATAAGAAAAATTGATTGTGTTTGATATGTTTTGATATAATGCTTTAACTCCTGCCCATTTCTCTGCAGTACTGCGTATGGACGGATGGTCTGAATGCCCTCCTGGGAAAGGAGATGACCAGTGATTACACCAAAAGCGACATGGACACCCTGCTCTCCATGGAAATGAAGCTCCGCCTACTGGATCTAGAAAACATCCAGATTCCTGAGGCACCGCCCCCAATTCCCAAAGAACCTAGCAACTATGACTTTGTTTACGACTGTAACTAGACCCTCATTCCCAATGCCTGAACCCCCCCCCCTGCCCAAACCCAGTCCGCACTGTCTATATTCACTGGACCAACCGCCCTTTTTCTCCAAAACTGGAAAAAGAATAAATAAAAAGTGAGGAATGTTGAGTAAAAAGAACTGTGGGTGAGCTCTGGTTTCTGATTAGAGCTTTAAAAGAGGAATTATGTTAAATATTGATGTGTTTGCACATGGGGGACTCGGGGTGTCAGTGCAGTCATCAGGGTGGAGAAGAAAAGCCAGGAAGTTCGTCTGTCTCCACATCGCTGCCATAGCTTCCCTCCTGTGACTGATGTTTTCAAACTTTCTCTGTTGCTTCCTTCCCGCATAGGTCCTCGCTGTCTTCTTGCTTCTGTAGGCGCTTTGAAATTTCACTCTCTTCACCTCCCTTGTTGTCGTTAGTTCTCTTTCTTTTTTTTTTTTTTCCTCAGGGGTTTTTTGTGAGAAGGGACAAAGAAGACAGGAATCAGGATGACGGTTTGATTTTTAAGTTGAAGTACCAGAGAGACATAAAGGAGGAGGGATTTTGTTCGTCACCCTGTCCGAAGTATTTCTTTTTCTGTCACATTTCCATTTGTGGCAGCTAAATGGAGGCTGGATGACACCCAGCAGATCCATAGATCCTTAAAATACTTCATTGTTTTGGCTCAGTCTCATTTTAAAATACTGAAGACTGTTTAAAAAAAAGTGTTCCTCAAAATCCAGCCACTTTACCACAGTATTTTTTATATTCATATTGATTTTACTGAAAAAAACAAATGCTGCTCATTACTTGTACATACAGTGGCAGTGCCATCAAACAACAGTAAAAGAGCCACCATTGTTAAAAAAAAAAACACAATCTTGTCTCTCCCTACTTCAAGTTTTTTTTTTTAAAGACTGCTGTAAACAACATTCCTAAGCAATATTGGAGCTTTCGTTCTGTTTGTCATTTGTAAGATGATCATCATTTAGTAATTTTTAATTGTGAACAGCCTGGTTTTAGGTGTTTGGTAAAGGGAATTAGACGTTTTGATTTGTCACTGTGTTTATCAGACTATAAAGGCCACAAAGGTGAAAGTTTATGTATTTTTTTTTTTTTATTTAAAAAAATGATCATTTTTATTCCTAGTATGATTTATATTTGTCCTCCCTATTTAATGACTTTTTTTTTCCAAAGCCCCTAAAACTGCTGTTTACATTAAAAAATAAATAAAAATAAAAAAGTCTGCCTCTTTATTTTTGGACAAGTTTGACATTGTTAAAATGTGTTAAATTATTTGCTAGTATTACAAATAAGTGTCATGAAAATGTATTATTCTTTCTGTTGAAAAATCTGTCGGGGGGCGGGGCTGAATTGCAAAACAATTTTACTACATATTTTAGAGAGGATATTCCTTTTTTTGAATGAAAAAAAAAAAGTAATCAGCTTCATGACCCAGTACTTATTAGATGTATACTATGATCTAATAATTTTCTGATTTGGAAAAAAATTCTAGACAGCTCAAGGTAAAGCATTTATTTTACAGTTTAACTAAAATAAGAAGAGTTTTCCATTTGAGTCATAGTTTTCTTGTCTTTCTCTGGAGTTTGAGTCTAATTTGGTATTATATCTACTGGTAGTTTTAGGGGAAAGAATTTCAAAATAACTGAATTGCCTGTACCAGTTAGTTTCTCATCCCAGGGGCAATCTAGTAAAAGAATGATTCCTCTGCTGTGGTCTAAATATTTTTATATTCTCCAGCTCTAAGTGAACAGGACAGGGTGGGTCTCTTGACTTTTCTCAGTTTAGGAAAACCTGAATGTCTTTTTATTGCAGGGAGGCAGAGGCTGCCTCATCTGACCCAAGATGTCAAAAACGTTTCCACACTGGATTCATTTAAAACAATTTTGGATATGAATGGTGGTCACTTTTAAAGAAGCAAAAAACATTCAGCCAAAACCTTGTACCGGTAAGTCCCTAATTTGAATTTTATTAGGTTATCTTTGTATTTTCTTTGTGAGCACACAGTTCTCTGAACACCTGCAAAAAGAAAATTGAACCATTTTTTTTCTTATTACCCTTGGACTGTGAAGAATAAAAGGCATAAAGTCATTCAAACTACTTCCCATTAGGGTAATCCAGATATTTGATCATTCTGAGGCTTACGTTTCATTTCAACACATTAATAACCATTTAAACTTGTGTAAAGCTTCTCAAATTTTTAAATCAGTCTAACAGATGTGTACATATAAAATATGCTTTAACTCAAAGTCATTGAAACAACACTTCTTTTGAGTAGACAGTTCCTAATCACTCACATTGATGACTCGACTTGTTTTCCTTATAAACTTGTCGCCTGCTAGGCCTCATTAACATTACTGAGGCCACAAAAATGCCTGAGCAGTTCCTTTTCATCCAAACAGTTCACATCGTACTGTTCAATGTTATTCTGTTGGATTTTTCTCCATATATCTTTCCACCAGGGAGTCACAGACATCTCCACTAAAGCTCATCCTGAGGGACCAGGATGCCAGTAGAGATTTATAATCCCTCTGGTGAGTTCTTGTTCTGCCCTGAGGTCTCCTTCCAGCATGAATGCCCAGAAAAATTCCAAAAGGACGTACCCAGGAGGCATCCTAATCAGACGCCAGAGCCACTTTAGCTGACTTCTTCCATTTTAACTCGCAGAAGCAACATTTTTGGATTCTAAGCATTTTCCATCCTTCCTATGAAGTATGTCACTTCTGTCTTTACTAAATAAGGTTTTGGAGCATCCTGTAAAACCTGTAATTTCTTTAAGGCACAAAAATCTTTTAAAGGGTTGATATCATTATGTAAAGTTCAGAAATAAATATTCTTTTGGTGTACTCTTTGCACTTTTAACTAATCTTTTAAGACTTATGATAGTTAATTTCTCTTTGGGTATTTAGTATTTATGAATCAAGATTTTTTTTTAATCAATACATTTCTTCATGATTATTTCCCCCCACACAACATCTAGAAAATGATCAAATGAAATTCAGATATTTTTCTAAACTTCAAAGGAACATTCTGAAAGAAAAATTGGACATAAAAATGATAACCATTGTTTTTTTAATAATTATCTTTTGGAATTATAAAAGATCTACATTTATACATATGTGCAATAATTACATATTAGAAACTAAACCTTTTATTTAAATACATTAGTAGGGGGAAAAAAAAATTACAATCAAGTTTAAATTTCTGAAACAAATTAAGATGAATGAAGCCATCAGGCAAGAGTGACGTGTTGTCCTGGTGTGAACTGCACACGTGGATGCAGTTTGTCCTCTAAACCTCCAAACGTTTCATACCTAAAAGGGAAAATCGGGTTTAGATGAGATAAACTGAAAATAAATTGTGCAAACATTTCTCTTTAGACAGACCTAAATGTAGTACTCGATTACTTTGATGATAAACTTTATTGACATTCCTCTATCATCTTTTTCATAACTGCTTACAATTACCCTGATAACTGATAAACTAAAGCATTTCGGATACATTACTGCTCTAATTTGAGTTTTAATCTAGCCAAGAGTCATCTGGTTAGCTAGCACTTACAGTTTACTGTATTTGCTCCAGTCGGCTGGGCTGAGTGAGGGTCTAGTCACAGCCAGGGCAGATTTAATGTGAGCCTGAGACAGCAGGAGGCCCAGCTGGCTGGAGGCTGAACGCATCCAGACCAATTCTTCCTGCTCAGGAAATAAACACAGACAGGTAAAGGATTAAATCTGCTGGAATTAAGAATAAGTTATCTGAAATAAGAAAACTGATGAGATTAGAACTGATAAGATGCAAAAAATATAATTTACAATTTTTCATGGCTTGCTTTCACCTACATTTCCTTTCCTGTAGCTATTCTTGATGCATCTGATGTCCTGTTGGAGGCGCTCCAGCTGCTCAGAGCAGAGCTCTTTGTATCCCGTCTGGATGGATGACATATAAGCCGGAGGGAGGCTGTTGACTGGCTCTCTGGAGTTGGGTCCAGAGACGTAAGGTGAGTCCTGTTAAACATGTAGATGTTTAAACAGAGACTATATTAATGCATTAAGTCAAAATGACAAAGTATTTTTAGTATCTGTTGTTATAATAATAATAATCTGGAGACAACGCTGGAGAAAGGTTAGAGGATAAGGACACAGATGCAGTGACATCTATAGGACATTTCTGAAGATTGAGCAGACTTTCCCTCAGAAGACATGTTGGAAATATGCTAATACAAGATGTACCCAGTAACATGCTAAAGTACCAGGATCCATTAAATGCTTTTCAAATTCTGTTACATTTAAACAAACATTCATATATTTAGTTAGATTGTGTGTGAGAGAACAAGGTGGTGCATGATTGTAAATGTAAACAGAAATAATTCCTGATTTCCTAAATATTTTACAAATTAAAGTCACACTTCTCATTTTTATTTGAGGGAAAAAAGAAATATACAGACAAAGGTTATATTTTTCCTCTTCTTCATAATGAAGAAATGCCTTGTGTTAGTCACAGTAGAATCCCACTAAATTACAAAAATCATGTTTTAACTGCGATAATGTATAAAACGAAACGTGGAACAGGTTCTGCCGTGAGGCAATTTAAGCTCACCCGTCTAGAAACTGGTGAGTTTTCAGTCTCTGACTCAAAAGAGCTTCCAAAGTACAGCCTCCAGACGTTAGCGTGCTGTTCTTCATGTTCCACATGTAGCTCTGCAGGCTCCAGATGACTCATCGACTGGTCCAGCACTAGGTTCTGGTCTCCTTCTCCGACAGAGTCATCTGAGCTGCTGGTGTTATTTGGGAAGATCATGGAAGACAGGCTCATGTCGCTGTCTGAGACCGAGGTCAGCTCCTGATTAACAAAACAAGGTTAACGTTTAAAACTACAAGAGCAAAGAGGATCAAAATGATTTGCAAGAGTTTGCCTTTTGTTTTCTCAGTCCAAAGCAACCTAATACCTGTGATGTGCCGACGCCTGAGCTGTGGACGGCCTCTAGTTGTGCGTTGTAGAGTAGAGCCTTTAGGTCTGCTCCAGTGAAGTGCTGTGTCACTGCTGCTAGCTGTTCCAGGTCAACATCCGGAGCGAGAGAGAGGCCAGAACTTAGAGCCTTCAGGATCTCAATACGAGCTTCCTTAAAACATAAAGGAGACAGTTTTTAACTACAGGACACAAAAGCAGCAATGAGACTTTAATCCAATACCTATTGGAGGGGTGACTATAATAAAAAATAATAATGAATGGAGCAGATGATTGAATATTAAACCTACACACCTGGTCTGGAGGAGGACAATAGAGGGACTTGTCCAGTCTTCCTGGTCTCAGTAGAGCTGGGTCTATTAGATCTGGACGGCTGGTGGCTGCGAGCACATACACTCCTAGAAAAACCACATTATGTCGAAATAAGATCCACATGTCTATAGAAATCTATTTTTGTTGCAATTTGGCTTATTTAATAATTATTTTAATTATAATTTTTATAATTATTAAACATGTCATCTTGAGGAACTGTATAAACAATATATGATCATATTTTTAGAGGATTGATAGGAAAAAAATGTTTTGGGTGTTGTGCTTGATAGGTCCTTTGCCGGGTGCCTCTCTCCCTCTCTCATACCCCATTTCCTGTCAGCCTACAGTCGAAAAAAAATACGAGCCACTGGTATTGAAAACAAATAAATAAAACGTTTTGTAAAAAAAAAAAAAAAACAAAAAAACATTTTTTCCATATTCTGAAGTGCTGTGAAAATTAATCCAGGCCTGACAAAGTCCTCTAATTAGGCTCTGAAGGTACCAAGACTATGAAGGAATCCAAAATAATTCTAATTTGTGTTAAAGATCAGATACATGAAATAAGAAAAGTGCAGTTTTTAATGTGTTACTTATTACTAAGTGTGTACCTTTGTGTAATAATGAAAGTAAAAAAAAGGCAGAAATGTGATGAAAGCACGACTGCTCCCTTAAAAACTACAGATTAACTGATCACTGAAAACGTCTGACCGTCTCTGTAACAGCAAGAGTTTTGGCTGTTTTCTGGTCTGCTCCAGTCAGGTGTTTGTTTACACAATACAGACGCAAAAAAAGACACCAGCAGGAAACTCCCACCTGCAACTGACTGTCTATTAAGCTAGGTAGAGTTGTTTACCACTTCAGAGTATCTCTATCAAGTGTGTAAAGGATGTTCACCTCATACCACCGCTTAGCAAATAAAGAACTCTGAAAAAGCAAT